TCTGAGTGTGGGGTTGTCAATCCTAATATAGATCTATACAAACTTGTTTCGATAACCGACTGGAGATTCTGGTTATAATATCAGGACTTTAACTATGTTGTTTAAATGAATAAACAACCTGAACATATTGTCTCATAAAAAGCATATAAACGTTGCTTGTATGATGAAAACCCAATCATTCTGAAATAAATGATTGATAGTATGTCCCTTGTTTAGTATATCCTAAATGTACTTGAAAGTTGTATACCCTTGTTTAGTTTTGAATCAAACTCTTTTTCTTGTACAATAGTGTAAGCTCATGTTCTTGTAAAATAGTGTACTATAGTATACTTGACTCGTGAGTTAGTGTTCTTGAACCATAAATTATACCTGTTATAATTTATATGTATTTTCTGTATTGATACTAATTGTTCATGAATGCAAGCTCGACATTTTACTAAGGGTATTGAAACTTAATGAAATAACCTTTATATTTATATATAAATATAAGATATATAACTAAAATTGAAACGACAATCGGACAAATAACCGATACCCTAAGTCCACATCCAAACAAGGAAAAGGAAATAAAACGAGTTATCAGTACTAAGCCCTTTAAATCTTATATATATACATATACATACATAGATACATGTATATATATATATATATATATATATATATATATATATACAAATATGATTTTTGGGGAAAATATAAGTTTATAAAATTATTTAAAGAGTTTAATATTTTGAAATACTTTTGATGATTTGATGTCATTTTAACACAATTTGAAACCATTTGTCAGATATTTAAAATTTATTTGTAGGATATTTTGAATCCATTTGTTTGTAACACAAAATCCTTGTGTTAGACTTGTACCCCCCCCCCCCCCTAAAACAGTAAAAACTATGAAAATACGAGGGTATGAACTCACATTTTAGAGGGTGATACAAATGTTGATTTGATATAGGATGTTTACTTCCACAAGTGAAATCCTGTAGCAGTAACAAGTCCTATATAGCAATTTGTATAGCATAGATGCATACAATTAGTTAAAGCAATCATAGGAATGAGTGGAAACTAGACTAATTTGTAAGTATAACTTACAAATTGGAGTGTTTAGAAGCTAAAATGGAATCTGGTTGATGTTCACGGCCAGGAGGTGTTCACGGCCCTAGGTGTTTTCGACCCTATGTTCTTGAGTAAATGAAGAACACTTGATGATCATAGGCCAGATTCTAAGAAGATTTAAAGGTATTCAGGTGGTTGTTCTTCGCGTGTTCTTCATGTTCTTCATGAAAACTAGTGAAATCAATGGGTTTCAGCCTAGTATAAGAAGATTGAAGGGCCTTGAAGTGATAACAAGATCAAGAAAGGATACCTGTTAGATCTTATGAATAACTAGTGATTATCACTTGAAATTGATGAGAAAGGATGATTTTATCATGTTCTTGAGGAGAGAGGTTGTTCTTGGCTGATGATACTTGAGAGAAAATGGTTAGAATTGTTTTTCAAGCTATAGAAATAAAGCAAAAGTCGGCTGAAATATATATATATATATATATATATATATATATATATATATATATATATATGTGTGTGTGTGTGTGTGTGTTTGTGTGTGTGTGTGTGTGTGAGGGTTCACGGCCGAAGGGTTCACCGTCGTGAACCTCGTTTGCGGTCTGAAGGCGGTGGTGGCCGAGAAGATGATTACGGCCGAGAACGAGATCCAAGGTGATAAGGTTTGATTTCCAAAACGATAGGATCCGATGAGTTTGTGGCCCGAAGCCTGATCATGGCCGAAGCCTGATCACTGCCTCGTTTATGGCTTGCGGGTTTATGGCCCTCGTATGCGGTCCGAAGGGAAAGAAGAGAATGAAGGTACGAAAGTTCTCAGTTTTAAGCATTTCTCTTCTTAATTCAACCACAAACATTTTAAGGAATTTTAACAAGAAAATGTTATTATTCCAACTTTAATAAAAACCCATACCATACAAAAGACTTTAGTTGACCCAAGTTTGACTTTGGATAACTAAGGTTGACTTTACATGCAGAAAAATAAAAGGATGTTACAAGATATGCAGTCAACACTCTACAGATTTAAAGATACATGCAACATAACTTAGCCCAATCTATTTATGCACATTATGACAGATTGAACTACTGATCATAAAGAAAGAAAACATGTAATGAATTGCAATGATAAACCAAAAAGAAAAGATTAATTATTTTCCATACCTCTTCCTAGTGGAACACGGTTGGGCAAGAAGTCCAACAACAGAATGATGCTCGGGTATTTGAATCCTACCTCCATCTGCCAAAACGTTTGTCGGATTCAGCAATACCTACAATAGCCTGCAAGAAATAGTAACATACTTTCCTTACTTTATTTGTTATAGCATTTTGCTTTAAAGTATAATGCATCCCTAACTCATGTGAATTTTCTAGTTATATGTGTGCTACAGTACCCATAATTATCTTCAACCTCCAAGGATCAAAAAAAGCTCAATGTAAGTATAAGCATAACTCCAGTAAGGATTAGAAAAAGCTTCAGGTGTTGAGATGTATTTTATCTTCATTTTTATTTTTCCATTGATTGTTTGAAGTATAATAAGCTTCTAATAGCTTATCAACAAACAAAATTTTATGCAGTAAATGTACAAATCACTATATTCTCCTCGAAAATGAAAATAGTATGATTGGATTATATTGTATAATAAACATACGTCCTTAATATTTTTTCTAAAAAAGTTACCACACACATAAGGAAAAGTACATAAAAAAATGATAGGATTTCAATGATGAGTAAAATAGATAGAACTGATAAGTAATAGCAAAGAAAGTGAAACCTGATGATGTTCATTCTGCTAAGCTCTAATTTTGGTTGAATCCTGAGAACAACTTTAATAGGAGTAGTAATCCCACCTGTAGAAGCATAACAATTTCAAAATCCACCAAAACAAACAAAAAAATTGTTTTGATCAGTTTACACACCTTTCAAATTCAAGAGAGCAGAAAAGAGAAATTCTGATTCCGATTCCGGTTCTAGAGCTTGATTCGGGAAAGCCAAGATAACTTTTTCATTCTTTGGGATTTCAAGTTTGTTTATCTTTTCCTTCAAATCGTTTGATAAATATACACGATTTCTGCATTGATCTTTTCTAGAGTTCTTTCTTTGATACATTTTGGTGTTTGTTTGTATTATGCCTTCAAATATACTCAGTTCTGATACACTATTTCTCATACCAAATCCATCAATTTCACAATTTGCTTCTTCTTCATTATCTAGGCATTTCTGCAACATAGAAAAGTATATTTTAATACAAAATATCATATAATAATACCAAATGAATATGATCTGTTATTGTATCTTAATGACATGAACATCAACATTGTGTTGCATAAGGAATGTTAAGAAGGCATCAAAGTTTTCTTTTGTAGGTCCATTGCATTCCATGTCCAACCAAGAAGACACAAAGAAGAACAAAGTCAAACCTTTCACAAGTAATTGGACATTCTAGGATAAGAGCATCGTTGCCAATATCTATTGGGACATCACATATGCAGATACGACCTTTCGGTATTCCCATCTAAACAACAAATATAAAAATCACAATTTAATAGATTATAAACGAAATCTAATCATTTTCTACTCTAAACCAAATTACAATAAAGAAGTTAAAAAAATTTATAACAGGAACAAAGTTGTCATTTAACCTTCGGATGGTCTCCATGACCTTGGGACAACCAAGGTGGCACAACCCTAAAGTTTCCAACCTACAAAATTAAGTAATGATCATCTTTTTAGTCGATGAACTCAATTAAAAAATAAAAATAGAACATAAAAATGATGATATATTACTCGAAGTTACATTCTCTTTAACACCATAAACAATTGCCGACATATATTTCTCCTCGAGCTTCACAAATTTGTTTTAAAAAACAAAAGCAGAGACTTGATTAAATAGTGAAGATGCTGCAACGTCACATCATCATCAAAGTCTATTTTTGGCATATGTTCTTTCAAAAAATATCAATAGTAAATAATCTGATAATTTACTTTCTTTAATATGTAGAACATCTCATAAACCTTAATATTTGAGTGATTGTCCTCTTCACCCATTTTTCCAGTCATCATGCACCTCATTTTATCAAAATCAAAGGCACCAGTGCCATGTTTTTTTTGCACTCACTGTTATCTGGTTTGTTGAGAAACAAATATTAACAAGCTTTATTTATTTCTATAACCATGTGAAGTTTCAGAATACAAAATCTACTCCAAGTTGTGAAACAAATATTAACAAGCTTTATTTTATAACCATGTACAAAAGCCCCGTAAGAGGCTGAAATGGTTCATTCAATAAAAAAAACGCAAAAAACAAAGGTATAATCTATTAAAGCTCAATCGTTCATCTTCGTTCAAGGTTGTTTGGATGCTACATTCCATATTTTTGGAACTGCAAATCAAACATATTACATTGAGTTATTGAGTAGAAAACCGATAAATCAAACCAAGTAAAAAAACCAACCTTTCTCTTGTTAGATCGGTACAGTCTAAGCAAACTTCAAGATTGTTTGAGCCCTAGTAGATGAAAACGAAAGCAACATGAAAATTAATTGATATTACCCTGTATGCTTCGTGATAGACCAACTTAAACCAAAATTGGGGGTATATTGAAGCATCATGGCATGTGTGTTTCATGTCTATGAAAGAACAGACTAAAAATAAGGGAAAAAAAGCCAATCAAATTAACCTGAGTCATTGACTGCAACTGAAGGTTTCTTGATGAAAGCCCTAATTTTCATAAAGAGGAAGAGGCGACTAATCTTTAAATCGAAGCCTTTGGTCCGGTAGCATCATCAATCTGTTGTTGGCGAAAGCAGATGCAGAGGAAGATGAAGCAGTTTAGGGTTCTCCAAAGAGATGAAGCGAAAATAAGGAAACAACAGTAAAACCGGGGCCTAGACAACGAGGAATTTGAAGTTGTTAAGGTTTGAAATCCTGTCGGCTTGTGGGTTTACGAAGTCAGCATGGGTGGGGTATCGATGTTCTCGCTTAGCTTCAAGCTGCAAATGGTTTCTTCAAAATTGTTGCCCAGTCCACCTTGACGTAGGTGAGAGAGATGACAGGGAGGTGGGAGCATACCCGGGGAGATTGAGTTACCGGAGAGAGAAATCTCTGATATTTGTGGAGATGATGAGGAATCAGAGTATTGAGGTAAGGGCTGATGGGGCGTGGTGAGGTAAGCAGATAAGTAAAAGGAGAAGGCAACTGAGACAGAAAAGCGATGGAGGTGAAATAAGCCAAAGAAGAAGCGGTGACAGCAATATAATCCCTATACAGAGTCGGTGCCATTGGAATTTGTAGGCGGTGCTGCAATCTGAGTCGGTGGAATGAATCGGCAAAAAAAATTAAAAAAAATATATATGTTGGTCCAATAGGAACAACGAACTGTTTCCTAACGCCTTGTTCCCGAGTTTAATTGAGTTTCATTAAACGAAAGAAAAGAAAGGGAAGTAAAATATGGAGAGAAAAGAAAGGGAGGGGAAGGAAATTATTAACTTTTTCGTGTTCCCGAGTCCGAAGGAAAGGAAGGGAAGTTTTTTAAAAAGTGTGTTCCCGAGTTCGAAGGAAAAGAAAAGAAAAGAAAGCTAAATAACAAAATTACAATTTTATCCTATTTTTTAGCAAGATTATTACATACATAGTTGAAATTGAAAAAAAAAATTGATTTGCATGTTAACGTCATATTTGTTGTCTAAACATTCATTTACACACATACATATATATTTTGTCAAATACAACCTACATATAATATTAAATTAAATTACCAATGAATAGCAACACATAAATAATATTAAAATAAAAAAAAGTTGTGGATATCTTTTAATAGCATTTGTCTAATTGAAAAGAAACCAAACTATAAAAATCATCCAAAACAATGCAACTTAATTCAACTACGATTCGAAAAACCATAATTCAATTCGTGAAACCAAAAAAAAAGCTGAACAAAGAACCAAGAAATAAACACCGATTCTCCCAATTCATCATTTACCTGCACCCATCATTGTTTTTAGTATATCCTTCCTTATGTTCATTGGACAAGTAAACAACGTCCTCGCATCTGCTTGGTTACGAGCCAAATACATGAGAGCACCTGGTATTTCATGGGCTTCCAATCCCATCGGCTGCAATTCTTGATAAATTCCATCACCTGTTAACTCATGATGGTAAGCTCTTTCAAAAATTTTGTTACCTTCCCTCATTGCATTAGCCACATCACTAACAGCATTCATAATCTTTGTTTCAAATGTTTCAGGTTCAGGTTGAGGCTGAGGTTCAACTTCCTGTTCTACTTCATCTACGAGTTTTCTTTTTTTAGTTTTACATTTTTTTCGCACTTGAATTTTGTTCAGGTGTAGGAGACACCACTTGAATGTCATCTTCATCATCATCTACACGTTGGTTCTCCACTCTAACATCATTACTTGCTAATAAAGAATCAACCTCTGAAATACTTTCTATTTTGATGTTCGTAGTGTTGTTAAACCTAGCATTTCTCTCCTTTGCAGTTTCAGCATTTTCTCCTGAAGCTCTATCTCTTGCAAATAATACCAACATTTGTTCAAAGTGGGCCACCTTTTTTGTCTTGAGTGCAACTGCATCAGGCTTTGACTGTTTAAAAACCCCAAAATACATTAACACTATTAATAATAACATAATATAAAAATAAACTAAATACAACCTTAAATGAAAACTAACCTTAATTAAGATATCCCAAACCTCCTCATCTGCTTCAATTAGTTGGGTATCAGCATTCCAACCGAACCCACTCAAGGAAATCCCATTGAACATGTCATACCATTGTGAAAAAGTAGATTTCAAAGTTTTCAAACGATTTTTTAGATGACTTTTAGTTAAATTCATTGTAAGTTTCGTATTGATCTCCTCAACCATATTCGCATACGCTTGTGATGTAAAATTTCCATAAGGCCTATTTCCTTTTTCTTGTTGTTGTACCATTGCATCAACAAATGCAGCATCCATATGTTCTGTCCAGTTCAAGAGTGATTTCTTACCAGTATTTACAATAGGTTCTTGCTTGTTCATTATCGGGTTCTACATAACATAAAAAAACGTACATTATTATAAAAAGAACATAGTTATAAAGTGTACAATTTATCAAAAATAACATAAACAAAAATTTAAAATAACACAAATGAATTCACAAAACAATGTTCAATAAAAATTCAAATTGCAAATGAAGTAATATAACGAAATACTCTTAAACTATGTTGACATATTTATTTCATTGTTTGGATTCAATAAGTAATTAGTCCACATTTGATTTGCAATTGAGTTCCTAAATTGCTCTGCCATGCTGTTACCCTCACGCGCACCACTTGAATTATGCCTGACTTCCTCTGTTGGTGCACTTGACACTTCCTGTAATACCTCATCTTCAAGATCTTTGTCACGATCTTCAACTATCAAAAAGTTATGCAAAATACAACACGCCAAAAAAATGTCTGATTGTGTTTCACAAGAATAAAAAGGTTCTTGTGTACTTCTAATGATAGGGAACCTTCTTTTTAGAACATCAAATGCCCTTTCTATAGCATTACGTAATGAAGCGTAACGAAGATTGAACAACTCTCTAGCATTTTGTGGTGCCCGAGTGGAATATTCTTTTAGATGATACCTAACACCTCTATATGGCGCCATTAATATAGTTGAGTGAGGCAAACCCGCGTCTACTAAATAATAGCGACCTATAATCAAATTGTAATTAGTTTTTTAATACTAATTTAAACAAAAAAGTAAAGAGTTGATACTAGAAATTACCATTTGGAATTACTAGTTTATCATCTCTATTAAGCGCATTCTTTAGTATCCTTGAGTCTGATGCAGTACCCTCCCAACCGGTTAAGACATACGTAAACATTAAATCAAATGAACAAGCAGCTAACACATTTATCGTTAGGTAACCCTTGCGGCCACGATATCTAGGGGCATCTCTATTAGGTACTTTGACACGAACATGTGTACCATCAATTGCTCCTACACAGTTCTTGAAGTAAGGAAAGAATCTCTTTTTCTCTTGAATTTCTTTGGGGACAACATCACCTTGTGGTTGTTAAATATAAAGAATTTCTAATGCTATAACCGAGCGCAAAACTCTATGGAAACACCTACTCGTTGTGGATTTCGAGCGCCGATACATCCAAGAGACAAATGTGTTTCTCAAATCATTACCTACAATGTGCAAAAATCTTGCAACATGCTCTTCAACAGACATTCGTTGAGTAGGTCGAAGACCACCATCACGTCGTAAGATAACACATAGCTTCTTAAAAGCTTGCTCACTCATATGGATAAGCTGACGACATTGACCACCATTTGCAAGGTTATGTAACAACTCTTCCCGTACACGTCGACGTTTTAAAAGAGTTTCTCTAGTAGGTAAATTAGGACCATTCTTGATGGTAAGTTTGTGTTGTACCAGAATAGCAATCAACAAACAAATTAGATGAACAACTTGCATTTGTCTTGATTTCAAAATATGAGCGGGTGAAGGAAGGTCAATATCCATTGAAATCAATGTGACCTATTTTACGTAAAAAATGTGAAGGATTATTAAGAGGCAATGGAAAATTTAAGAAGGGCTTACGTGGGTCATCTAACCCACCTTAATTTTTAAAATTATTTATAATTATTGTAGAAAAAAACTTAGGAACCATCTTTGAAAATTTTGAGGAATCACCTTAGCTTTTTGAAAAGTTAAAGTAAATAAAAATTTACTCATAGTTCCTTTGGTAGGCATGAACTTTTGACTTCGGTTGTATCCGGTTTATATGAGTGTTGGTTATTTTAATCAAATATTTTGCAATACTTGTATGTAAACTTTGATAAGTTGTTTATAGTTTCAATTATGTCATCATTTAGGCCAACAAAAAGCTTTATTATTTTCATCTTTAAACCTGTAATTGACCCACCTATTCATAACATTCTATAAAAATCAATAGAAAATTTTGTGTTTATTTTTTTGCAGCAAAAACAGCTATACATCCAAAATAAAAGCAAGGGCAAAATAGTTCAACAGGAGATACTTTGAGAATTGCATTGAGTAATAGTTAATGCACGTATTTGCTATTGAAAGGAACTATCACAAAATGTTGTTGACATGTTATACATCCCTTGGTCGTGAGAATGAGTGTGTATGAGGATCGGATCAATGGATCTTGAAGAAGAAACAAATTCAGAAGAAGAAAAAAAAAAAAAGTTGTAAACATATATTGAACCTGAGGATACTTGTATTGATGCTCTAAACATAATATCATAAGAGGAAACATGTAATGGTGTTCTAAACATATTATTACAAATAACCTAATGAATCAATTCAACTTTAATAACAAAAAATGAGAAGAAACAAACTAGAAGAACATATTATTACAGGTTATGTGATCTGAAACATATAAGAACAATAATGAACAGTAAACATATTATATGAACCAGAAAAAAAAAAAAAAAAAAAAAAAAAAAAAAAAAAGGTTGTAACATAAGTGTAACCTGATGAACAAGATTTAACAACCAAAAAATTCATTGGAGAAGACAGTGTAACCTGAAGGAGGATTGAAGCTGCAGCGGACGTCCAAAGAGAAGATGGAGGATGATTTTTTTTTCTCTGTGTGTATGTACGTGATTATATAGATAGGTTACAAAAACCGTGTGTTCTAATCTTTATCCTTGATTCTCTTCTCTCCAAATCTCTCCAATTTGGGAGGAAGATTAGAAAGGAAGATTATCCTCTGATTTCCTTTCTTTTCTACCCAAATCATCCCAATAAAATAACTTGGGAACACGATCGTACTCCTCTTTCTCTCGGATTCCCTCCCTTTCTCTCAACTTCTCTCGTTAAATGACACTCGGGAACGAGGTGTAAGAGACTTCTAAATTAGTCTATATAATAATAATAATAATAATAATAATAATAATAATATCTTTATTTTCTTTTTGTCTTTCACTTTTGGGTGAGTCATTATCAATATCATATATAGAAATAGAACAAACAGTCACACCACCTACGAATGTGATGGTTAATATGAATGTAATTTAGCCCCACATAAGTCTTCTTTATTGGTATGGTTTTCTGTTTTACAAAGAAAAAGAAAATGCCAAAAAGATAACACACAAGAACTTGAGTAAAGTGAGGCCTTTTATTTCATGATCGATTCATTATTCACATACATATAAATACAAACACATATATGATATAAGTATATAGAATTATAGATTATACAACCCAGCCCTTCCATGGAGAGGGTAGCAATGGCGTATGGAGGGATGACGATGTGATGGTTTTTTCTCCCTTGATCGTAAATAAGTTAGAACTTAGAACTGCTGTGTTTGGCAACCATGGTTAGTTGACTTTACCACCATCTACGACTCGAAGCAGACTTCTATTAAGAAGATCAACTATGTGTTGCTCACCTCTGTTAGAGTTAGATTTCAAGAATTCGATCAGAAACTACTGTAAAAATGTGATGTTCAAGAGGATGAGGACAAGATTTTACCTTTGATAACAAGAAAATGTTGGAACACCTTGATGACGAGGACCTTCATCGTATCCTTCACATGTTATCTCACCTTTATCATCCAAGTAACATACAATCCCTCTAGATTTGTCTTCAAAAACCTGTTTAAGACAAAACCAAAAAAGGGTTTGTATAATTTCAACATGAAAAAGAAACAGATAAAAGGAGTGTGATAATGATTCTCATGCCAACCCACCTTTTGTATCTTCATGGATGATCCGACCCGAACGAGAGATGAAGATGAAGATGAAGATGAAGATGAAGGAGATGAGTCGCTTTTTGCAAGCATTAATACCCGTTTTGATGTTTTCTTGATAGGAGTTGGGGCATGATGAATCAGGAGCAACGATGATGATGAAGCGATATTTGCAGCCATCTTGTGATAATTGAAAGAAAGAGAGTTGGAGAGCAAGATTTAAGGAGACAAAATATGAGTATGTGCTGGGCTTCTGCTATATAATAATAAAAATATACCCAAATATATATGTAAAAAAAAGTCTATTTTTTGACTTATTGTGGTTTGCCATGATTAGGGTAGCAGGTTTAAAGGCTTCAATTTTTTTGATTATAAGATTTAACATACTTTATATTAAGCATCCATATTTGAGTGATAAATATTCAAACAAAGTTGGATATGAAAATCAAGGAATTACTAATAAGGTAGAATATTTTTATTCCAACTCGAAAATAAAATAAAATTATTCAAGTGTGTTGGTTGGTTGATTGAGAGAAAATAAGTTGCATTATTGAGTGAAATAAGTATTACTAGTATTTGTATTTTATTTAGGATGTGGGTGGGGTCATGGCCTTATCTTCACACTGTTGATGTCGACATTTTTTTAATTTAAACATTTGCATTGTGTCGTAACTTCTAACGAGTGGCCCTAAATTAATCCTCTTTTAATAATAAGTCACTTGTTTCTTAACTAATTAATTAAATTCAACTTCGTTAATATATATGTATAATCGATCAAGATTATGATATACGAATAAAATAATATACAGTATAAATGAATTATCAATGTATATTATTTAACAAATCAATTGTCATTTTGATTAATACGAAAGAAGTGACCACTAATTTTATAATTGGATGGATTCTAATAAATTAAAATAGTCTCTATTATTTGTCATATTTTCATTTATTTTATCACATGTTATTTTATTGATAATTTTTAAAATTTAATTTTCATTTATCATGTTATTGTAATTTTTAATTTTCTTAATTAACTATTCTAACTTTTAGGTTATAGAAAATAATTAATATATCATTAAATTGTTTCTTTATACTTTCAAATTTTAATATGTTTTCTTGATGTGTATAATTTAAAATGACATGTTTCTCTCAAAGTTCATTGTTATTTTAGGTTAAAATAATCTATTTAGGAAAAATAATTAAAGTTTGTTGTTTTTCATTAACAAAACTTAAAAAAAAAAAAAAAAAAAAAAAGCCAAAATATAATTATTTATTCATAGTATGTTTTATTAATATAAATTGAATTACTTATTTATTTT